TCACACCCAACATAGCACCTCTCACTCTTAATTTTTGACAACTTTGTATTTGACGGACATACTTCCTTACGTATTACAGAAAGTATTAGCATTTGATAGTTAATGAGGTTGTTAAATCTATAATGATATTTACCTCTTCTCCATTTTTCATTTTTAATTGATTTAGCTCATGTAGTGTTTTGTTTAGGCCTAAATGTTGCTTTTATTCTGCGCTTTTTATTGGAGGAGTTGGTGCATCGCTGTTTCTTTATTTACAAAAAATAATGGTTATTAATTTCTGTTTCTTTTTGAAATTCAAACTTGTAATGCATAACCAAATGCAATGATTAAATTGTGATGAACTTCACTTTGGCCCAAAATTAATGACTTATGTAATACTTGAATTTGCCAGCAGCAAGATCACTCCAGTTGAGGAGAAGGTGTTCTCACTTGCAAATTTGATGATCATTTAATTATGGTCATTAATTTGATTTCAAATTTTTGGATTAATACTTAAGTAATTTAGATGTTTTCTTACCATTCTAAGGAGCAACATGTAATGATGTAATGGCCAGGATGAGAGATGATCGTTCGCATTTGCAAGGAAGATATTTAATCGGGTAACTATCCTACAAAAGAGAGCTACATTGAAATAAAATTCCATGTGCCCAAATTATACATTAGATTTGCCATTAGAGTTAAAGAAATGCATGCTATTTTAAACAAAAATCTAAAAGAATTACATACTGGGGAAGTTTTAGCTGGAACTCTTTATGTATAACTTTTTCAGTGAGTCAAGTAGATGTCCATTAACTCGAATACTGAATAAGTTGGCCAACAACATATGTGGAATGAAAAATTCAAAAGTGAATGTTTTGGTTCTAAATGCATCAATTAAAGTAAGTTGGAACTTAGAATTGAGAATAGTAATTCAAGCCTGAAAGAAATGCCATTTGGTTGCACTGCTTGTCAATCTCATATTGTTTGATGAAACTAAACTTGTAAGCTGGAATGGCTAGGATATCGTCGCATGCTTGAGCCCCAGTATTTGATTCAAACTTGATGACCAATTTGTTTGTAATTGGCCTAAACAATCTATATCTCTTAGCTTGTAAGTTATTCATAAGACATGTATAGAAATGATAACAATCTTAGCAAGAAACACATAATTTTATAACATATAAATAAAAAACAAACCACAAATCAATAGATTACTGATTAGTTAGGGATGTCAATTACCCACCCATGGGCAATTTTAGTCCAAACAAAATAGACCCATTGATTATGGGTAGGGTATGGGTGAAGTATATACGGGTTTGGGGTTTGTAGATGATTTTGGGTAGGGCATTGATATTGCTTCCATAATTTAAATGGATATGGATACTCATTTACTTGAGTATGTTTTAACTACACATACAAAAATTAAAAATCTATTGGATCTATTTGTAAAACTTTAAAAAGTTTAGGTACCAAAATACAATACACAAAAAATTTTAGGTACTAAAATGTAAATTTTTCGTTGATAGTTTGGGGACTTATATGAAAAAAAATTAAATTTAGGTGCTACATCTAAAGATCTATTAAGTTAGGTACCAAGCTGAAATTTGCAAATGGTACAGGTACAAACCCAAATCCATGGATTAAAAACCAAACCCAACCCAAATATATAGATATGGGCATATGGGTAAAAACCCATCAAAATCTACCAATTTATCATTTATTTGGATTTCATACTCACCGCAATTGGGTTGGACAATAAAATAGCCATGGATATGGGCATAATTGTCATCCCTATTACCGACTGAAATGTTGTATTTTCCCCCGATATATACACTTTTGCCTTATATAAAGAGCAAGTTAAAATGTAATTTTTTGTTGATATTTTGAGGATTTACATGCAAAAAAACAATTAGGTGCTACATCTTAAGATCTATTAAGTTAGGTACCAATCTGTAATTTGCAAATGGGTATGGGGCACAAACCCAAATCCATGGATTAAAAATCCAACTCAACCCAAATAAATGAATATGGTAATAAACATATATCACACTCTACTAATTTATCATCTATTTGGATTTCATACACAACCTAATTGGGTTGGACAATAAAATACCCATGGGTATAGGCAAAATTGCCATCCCTATTACGGTATTACCGGTTGAAATGTTGATTTTTTTCCCAAATATGCGTTTTTGAGTTATATAAAGAGCATGTTTTCTTCTTGCTAATTTAGTCAAATGGTTGATCAATTCTTTTCAAATCTGGCTTAGGTGCATCAATTTATGAAAATGTAAAATGGATAGTAATAGTTTTGTAAGATCAAGCATTGTGCAATAGTTAGAGAGATTATAAACAATTGATACTTCATCGATGTTCATATCATTAGAAAACTTAATTTGCGCTTCAGAAAGAGATAATCATAATCAACCACAAATTCTTGTGATATAAAACCGTCTCTCTATTTTTTTCTAAATCACATGTGACATGATCACACATTAAATTGTATGATGTATATAATTTTGCTATATGAATTATTTAGGCTTACATTCAATTTTTAACAATGGAATTGAACCACTATTTAGTTGTTTAGATGATTCTCCACAGAAAATATTTATTTGGAGTAGAGAACTAAAAAAATGTAGTAGGCAATAAAATTTGATCTAAACAATATAAAATAAATAGCTGATGATGGTTTCCCATACCTAAGATTGAGTTTCCTAATGGACCTGGAAAGTGTGGCTTTATTACTCAATGATACATTCAATTTTTAACAATGGAATTGAACCACTATTTAGTTGTTTAGATGATTCTCCACAGAAAATATTTATTCGGAGTAGAGAACTAAAAAAAATGTAGTAGGCAATAAAATTTGGTCTAAACAATATAAAATAAATAGCTGATGGTTTCCCATAGCTAAGATCGAGTTTCCTAATGGACCTGGAAAGTGTGGCTTTATTACTCAATGGTATAACCATTGATAATAAAACATAACACTAACACTGATATAGTTAATCCTCCACCGCTTGAGTTTTGATGTTGTAACTTGTAATAGAAAAACCCAAAATTTAAACGCCATGGATATCATTCAGAGATCAAGTCAGGTGCACGGTTTTGGTTATACTTAACGACAACTATGCAAGAGAGGTTTCTCTTTAAAAAAAAAAACTATGCAAGAGAGGTTCCCATGATTAATTCCGGTGAGAACACAGAGAGTAATTACATTCTTGATCTACCGCAGTGCCGCCTGGTTGGAACTAGGTAGTGGGCCAAGAGGCCCATCTGAATTATTGGAAAGACCAAACAGTCCTTCCGTGACTTGCGCAAAAGTCAGCAAAAAATGGATTGAGGGGGTGATGGAGGAGAACCTCCATATATTTACTAGCTTGGACCCGGCCAGTGGGCCGGAATATTCACATTTATTTGGGGAAAATATCTCAATTCTTATTTTTTTAGAGATTTTTATTGGGTTAATATAGTGAAAATCTCCAAATATTGATATAAATTATGAATGTTTCACAATCATTCTATTTAATCATTTGTTGAAATCTTTTTTACTTGATTTACATACTTGATCAAGATTTTCTATCACTTCACATTTATGAATTCAATCCTTAACCTATTATAATTTTGTTTCAACCAAGTGGAGTAAATGTGGTTATGAGAAATGCGATATGAGTTTAGATAAGTGTATATATGGTATAAGTGTGATTTGGTGCAACTTTTGTCAATCAAAGTCCAAAACTACGACAATTAAACAATTTCACTACCTAATTAATGGAATATGAATACATCGTGTTGTGAGACTCTTTTCTGGCTATTTGGTAGGCTAGTGCGAAAAGCTTGAAAAGATTACAACAAAACTGAGTTTTCGTTAAATAAGAAAAATCGAATTTGTAACAAAAATCATAGTGAAACCAACTTTGTCCTAAAATATCATGTTTAGGGAAGTGGATAGGTAGCAAAGTCCATGCTCATAAAAGGAACTATGAGTTACAAAAAATCAAAGAAATATAATTAATTTTGATATCCTTATTTAAAATATCATGAGAACCTTAGCTAGAACCTATTAAAATACATTCCCAACTTGTGTTGTAGAGTGCTCTTTTCATATTCGGACACTTTTTTTATAGAATCTCCGATGCGGTTTTACAATACTAAAATAAATTCAATAATAATAAAGAATATTTAAACTATTGGAAATAATTTAAAACACATAGACCAAACTGCGATAAAATTTTGATCCGGTTACGATTCAAACATAAAATTTATTTCATTTTGACATGCGGTCAAACAAAGATTAACCTCGTTGACCAGGGGTAAACCAAAACCATTTTTCGGTTCAGCACTGGTCAAATCATGTCAACCCTCAGTTTGACCAAGGCCAACCGAAATTGAAAAAACACATGATGGTTCCCTAACACTGTATATATGTAGACCTGGCAATGTATAAGACATGAATTATATATGATTTCATACCATTAATTGACTGTAATGTGGGGTTAATAGAATACATAGTAATGTCTTACCAAGAGTCCAACAAAATTCATATTTTTTGATGGGTGTATGTGATAGTGGAATCTAATTTTTATTTTGGACATTGGCCCAAACAATTACATTAAAAACTCCAAATTCAGGTCTAGAAGTTTTTTTGTTTTAATCAGCAGGTCTAAAGGCTTCAAAATATACAACAACCGTTCAAATAATTAAACTGATGGGCTTTATGTGTGGGCTTAATGGAATAATATTAATTGAGTAGCCCATGCGCAAGTGCAGTGAAGTATTTGGGCGGAAAGAGATAAAATTAAAGTAATTAATGGACTATAATACCCCTAGCGGAAATTAAGGGGAGGCCAGCTTTTTTTGAATGGTGGAAAGTCTACAAAACTCCACCATTAATAATTCTTTTGATTTTGATTTGATTTTGACTTTTGATTTGATTGTTCATTTGTTTGATTGATTTGATGTGATGATTTGATAATTAGAAATAAGAAAATAATAAATATCTCACTTCGTCTCTTTCTGGAACAGAGGCGATGGGTTTGCCAGCCCAGCAACACGAAAAATGCTTCCCCAGCTTATAGATAATTTGTGTTATGTTGCTTTTGTTGGTGTAATTTGCTTGCGTTCTTTGGTGGCTGGTTTGTGCAGAATTCAAATCTGTGATGGGCGTTCATTCAGTTGGGAAGGTTAGATTTTGGTCTTTCTTTTACTTCGGTTTGTCAATTTCTCCGAGTCAGCATCTTACTCATGTTTACCCATGTTACTTTTACCATATAATTTGCATAGAATCTCTTCTACCTCTCTCACTCGAAGAAGAGGAAGCTCAAAGAAGACGGATGAGAGTAGGAAACACTGCCCCTCAGAAGAAGAAGAAGAGCCTTTCAGAACTGACGAAGTCACCATCAAGCTTCTTTCAGGGTCATCTGCCGGCAAGAAGCACGAGGACGCTGCCCCTTCCCATCCCAGACCGAGGAATGTGCGACCTCCACTGGCTACAATTTTGAGAACTTGAGATACTGATTTGTCTTCCATCTCCTATTGGTAATTATCTCCTCTTCACATTACGCTTGGAGTATATTTGCTTTGATACTTTTGATAAGTTTCTTTATTCCCATGATAGATTCGTTGAAATTTGATTTGCAGGGTTATGGTTGGGATCCCTAATTTGGGTGAAGTTTTGCTATTGTTTGGGTTAGGTACCAAAGTGAACTTCAATGATTTAGTATGAGAGGGTGAATTGGTCGAATGGGGATTAGGATTGCTCACTTCAATTTGTATGCTTACTACTATGATGTTGGGTTTTAATTGAGCTTCAGTGATTAAGTATGAAAAGCTCCATGGTTATGAATTGTTCAATTGGTTCTTTTTCCCTCTGCTGGCCAGGTTGGCAAGCCATTGCCCAACGATGCAAAAGCACAAAAACTGGGTTTTCAGACTTGGATTGAAGCTGTAATTGAACTTGCCCCCTCACCATTTTCATCGTTTATCACTATCTATTGGAGATCTATCTATTTCTTACAGTGCCCTGATACTGGTTTTGCTTTCCTTTTCTTGATTTATCCAAGACAGAGATATATGGGAACAAATTGCTTATTATATCTTTAAAAGAACAAACTACAAGTTTACTGTTTGGTAAAGTCACTTCGATTGGTGCACTCTCTAAGATTTTTGGCAGACTAAAGTGGCTTTTTACTGACAACGAAGACTTTTCTTCCTCAGCTCTCTCTTTTTTGCTTTTATGTCCAATCTTTCCTTGCCCTCTCTCTCTCTCTCTCTCTCTCTCTCTCTCTCTCTCTCATACCCCTTCTCTTTCACCCACTCTCCTCTCTCTCTTGAAAAGAAGAAAATGGACAGAAAAAACTCTCTTGTAATGTGAGAAGGAGGAAGAGGAAGGAAGATCCGATCAAGAAGACGACAGGGAAGGAAGGATCGAGCTGGCGCGCATGACGGAGAGACGTGAATGGCGATGGCGGCGACGGGAAGGCAAGCGGCCAGCTACGGTCCCAACTCCCAGCGATGTCGAGGAGTAGAGAAGACATGATTGCTTGTATGTCTCCCAACGGGATTTCCGATCGTAACGAGGGAAGGTGGAAAATACAAGGAAGAACCATGGCCTGTCGCCGTCAAAGGGCCATCAACGGAGGGGAAGGAAGTGAGATCTCCAACGGGAACTTCATTGGCGATTTCATGCCTGAAGACTGAGCTTTGCCAGCTATCAACGGACGTGTAAGTGGGTTTTTTGTGGATTTATTTTCCTTTTCGTTGTTGGTGCGTTTGGCTTTTTCTTTCAATGATTTCCCGCAAATCTGCCTTTTTGTTTTGGGTTTTCGACTAGGGAAGAGCTGTCGCCGGAGGAAATTTCTAAAGGCAGCAGAGGCGACGATAACTAATCGCTGCGCTCTAGGTAAGTTCCTTCTTTTTGGGTTTTGGTTTTGTTTGCATTTTGGGGTGGCCTTTCTCTCATCTGGTTCTGTTGATTTTTTTTCATTTCAGGCATAGGAAGAGGAAGAAGAAGTCGGCATCGCCAGTCCTGACCCAGACGACAGCTGGTACATAGTTGGCTGGCCATAGAGAAAATTTGTGGGTCATTTTAAAATTTACTGGATATTTGGTGATTCAGTTTGCCCTTGAATGAATTTTTATTTTTAATTCAATATTTGGAAAATAGGAGGCGAATAATCTATTAATCACTTGGAGCTTTGAAGGTAGATGAATTGAAATCTTAAGCTGTAGTGATACTTTGGAATCTTTAATGGTTGTTCCAATCATTAGAGTAGTTTGCAGAGTTGATTTGTTTTCGAGATGAACAATTGCTTTTGGATGGTTTATGAAGTTTGTTTTGGTTCTCTGGATAATTGAGTTTTTTAAATCAAATTTAGGTTTTATTTTTTGGAATTAGTTATTATGCGGTTTAGAAATTACTCGCCTTTGTGATCCTTAGGTTGTGCTTTGTGGAAGGGCCACCATGAGAGGAGAAGGTGCAGGAGCTATGTTTGATTGCTTTTCATGAACTCGAAGATGCGACAATTGACTATTTGGGCTAGAGTGAAAGGGAGGACTGCTTGAAACAATCTGGGTAGATTCACCTTCATGTCAATCATTTTTATGTATTGCAGCTGAGGTTTTTGTGTTTCTCTCGACAGTAATAGAGCAGTTATTTCTCCTTGCATGGCCTTACAAGGGTATCAAAGTCAATGTGGGAATTATGTCTCAATCTGTTGTTTCTATTAAGTTGGTTGGATATAGGAAACTGCTGTTGCTCTGCATTATTGTCATAATTTGTCAAAATGATATCTGCAGTTTCATACAGAGTCCTCCTTCAGGTTGATTTCCAGTTCCTTTACTTCATCTTGCGGTGGTTTACAGAGTTACTAGAGTTTAGGGTTCTGCTGCCTCTTGACCAAGCATAGCCACAGTCATCTTGGGTAAGAGATGTCAATCGTGGATCTTAACTAGATGGTCTTTTAGCTTCAGTTTGTTGTAGGTTGTGTGTCCTCTCCTCGATCCTTATTTGGCCGCATACGGTTTGGATTCACGTTAAATGATTGTGGTTTTCCATGTTGTTTGCAGGTAGGCAGTTGAGGAGGTATGGGCTGAACTGTAGTCATCTTACTTTGGATCCAACGTATGAATTGGTGAGATTTCTAGCCTGCAAACAATCTCAATTACTTAGCATTCTGTAATTGTATAGAAATAGAAGTTTGATGGGTATTCTTGGAATCTCAGGGTAGAAGAAAAAGGAACTTCCCGAAATTAAAAATGTTCTTTCATGTCAATTGCTCCCCAACCCGCAGTTTCTTTCAGACGATAAAGGTGTTTATGTGCTTACTAACCAATTAATATGTGTATATGCTAAGCTACGACAACATGTATAAGACCAATTTTCTTACTAGGGTTGTGTGTATAATAATAGCAGACTGTTGATCAGTTCCCTTTACTTGCAGACTGTTGCTTTCTTTAAATCGCATTGTATGATCTGATCCTTTTTATATTTATGACTTCAGTCTCATGGTAGTTGCCTCCAAGAACCATGATCCGGAGGAGATGGCCATAGGTAAAGGAGAAATAGGCTCAGAGATGGCAGTATCATCCAGTGGAGAACAAAATGATAGGAACCTCGAGGAGTTACTAAGAGCAGGTGCATCATTTTTTCCATTTGGTTTGCTTAGTCTTTTTTTAAGAGTTCTGGATTTCATTAATGGTAAGATTCTTTATGAACCATCTCGAGTTGTGGTCAACTACTCATTTGTATTGGTGCTCAGGGATTACCTCTTTTATCATCTTTTAAACATGGAAGGACCATTCCAGAAAAGAGCTTATGCATAACATAATGGTAAGTGTTGAACTTCACTGGTTTATTGATTTGTTTGCAGTGCTTTTGTTCTGTGTATGCCTCTTTCGACCAGTAGTACACTCTGTTCATTCCATCACTCATGAAAAATCCTTTTCCTTTCAGGAAGGAAGAGCATTCGTTGAACAATGACGGAAAGTGAGCTTCTGTTTTTCCCAGCTGTCACCATACATGTCACCGTTTCAAGAGGGAAGCGCAGTTGTGGATTCGATAATAAAGACTAGAGCAATGTTGGTCTTCTGTGCTCCTTCCCTATACCTCCCATCCATAAATTTATCTTTGCAGGTAAAAACTTCCACTCCTTTTTGCCTCACAGATTCTATGTTGGAATTTATAGATTTTGCTTGCTTAAGTTAGGTCCAGTACTAATGCTCTATCGTTGGTGTCATTTCAAAAAAATAGGGATATGTTCTGCGAGATCGGGTAGGAGCAGTGCAATTGAAGTTTCAAAGCAAAGATATTTTGATTAGTGGATCTATGAATCACTCTTGGAGAAAATGTACAGCGTGGTGGGATTGATTGTTGTATGAGGGAACTTTCAGCCCATGTATAGAAACCAATAAAAGGTAACAAACTCTTCCTTTCGTGAACTTACGGTGTTGTTTTATCTACCGGGCTAATACATTATGATCGGTTTGCATTAGAGAATGATAATGAAAGGGGTTTCAAGAAAGGAAGAGCCACGGAGGCACATAAGTTCTCAATGAAGTTGGTGTCGGTACGAGGGAAGGAAGGACAACAGGAAGGTGGCAGAGGAAGGAGGAAGAGGGGCAACCGGAACTGGATACGAGGGAGGTAATTTCCGTTTGTGTTAATAGTTTTGTTTAAATTGTAGAAATTAGGTCATATACTTTATGGGAGATTAGCTTATGTTGATCCGATTGGAGGATGATGTGAGAGGTATTCAGGGGAGCATAAATCAGCGGTTGCGATGGAGGAGAGTTTTTTTCATGTTGCTTTTTTTTTGGAGTTATGATTCTCGGTCCGTGTCCTCCCTGCTTTTGGAACTTTTTTGTGGTCTTCGGTGTTTCCACATACTCCTGTATGCAAAGCTGGCTATGCAACTGCATACTAAAATAGTCCGACATATTAGCCTGCATTGCAGATGTTGACTTGCTATTTCAGATGCATTCAACTCACTGTATGTGGGATATTTGGCTGGTTTTGTTTTGAGTATCGTTAGTGAGTTCCTTAATGTTTTCGTGTTTCGTCTACCGTTTTTTGTGTTTCCTGGATGTAGAAGAAGGAATCTAGCAAGAAAAGGAAAGATTTGTTCAGCTTATTAAGATAGGAAAGTTGAAATTTGTTTGGATTTGTGCGTAAATTTGTTGGTATTCTGAATGAATTCGATGAGTATTTTGAATAAATGTGCATTTTAATGACCAATCTTCCTCAGTTATATCCGTTGTAGAAGTTAAGGTGGATCCACTGCTTCTTGAATTTCTCATGTGTGAGTTCTATATGGTATTTTTCTTAGACAGTATTTCATTCGCCACGAAGTGTTGCTGACGAGGTAGATATCTGAAATGCAGTCATGAGTGACTTGCGGAGAGAGAGAGGGAGAACGATTGTTGTAAGGAATAAATGGAGAATTAGAAGACTTGGTAGAGAAGAAATTCTCGCAAGCAGAGACCACCATTTTCTTGGCTCCTCAGCTTGAGCTTTGAAGTTCTGGTACTTCCTTCTCCCATCTTTATTTCTGGCTGTTGTTTCTGTTTTCTAAAATAAATGTAATGAAATTTAGAAGAAGGAAAGAATAATAGTTTTGGCGGTCTGGGGTTGTGGAACTTAGAGTTGTGCTGGAGGTTTGAATTTTTTGTCTCACTCTGAATCAGCTTTAATGGACTATGCTATGTATTGTTTATGTTCAGGCATAATTTTTTTTGCTGCTTTCATGTGTTTCATCTGATCCATTTAGGCATGTTGAAAGAGGTGGCGGTTAGGATTCAAAGCAAAGGACCATAAACAGGGCATGCCTTCTGCAGACATGATGGTGGGTGCTGAATTTCAACGGTTTTTAGATTTCTTTCCAGTTCTTTTGTGCGCCTATGTCTCTTTCGACCAGTGATTGTGATTTGTTGATTTTTTTCCTTTCAACATGGTATAACCAAACAAGACTTGCGATTCTCATATTGACGACATCTATGTTCCTTAGGAACAAGCTAGCTTCCCTTCAGTACTTTTTCTTCCCTTGAATCTCTCATTCTCATAGCTAATATTATGTTATATCAGTTTACATGGTGCATCGCAAATCATGT